GTTCCGGGGCCGCCGGCCCGACACCCCGCCGAAGGGCCGCAGCCCACCCGGCCGGAGCCGCCATCTTTCCCCCTCGGCCCGACCCAAACGCCACCCGCAGGCAGCGGGGAGCGCGGGCCTCACCTCTCCTCGCAGTCTCTGCACTTCACCTGCAGCGGGACGAGCTGCTGGAACAGAACCTGGCTCATGCTGGACCGCGGTCCCGCCCGCTCCGCGCAGCGGCCACAGGCCCGGGCCCCGGCACCCGCCTCAGCGGCGTCCGGGTGCTGCTAAGGTTTGAGTTTGGCGCCCGACTTCCGCTGAGGGGGCGGAGCAGAGAAATAGGCGGAAGCTGAAGGCGGGTTGGACCTCGCCGGCCACCGTCCTCTTCTTCCGGTCGGGCGGGGGCGGGGCTGGCAGAGCAGTAGTCCCGGCGTCACCAGCGTGGCGGGGCCCGAGGCGGCCATCTTTGATAAGGGCAGAGGTTCCCGCGGGGAGCTGACAACTTTTCCTCCCTCCACTCGCTGCTTTCCTTGAACGATGGCGGCCTCTGCGCCGACTCCGCACGCGACGGGCTTCCCAGCCGAAGGTCGCTGCGGCTACTACGTGGCCAAGAAGAAGAGGTTCTGCAGGATGGTGGCGGCAGCCGGGAGGAGGTTCTGCGGCGAACACGCTGGCGCCGCGGAGGTCTGGTAGCTCCCCGCCCGAAAGTCGGAACCAAGTTTCCCGGCCCCGCCCCTCCCCTCTCGCACCGACTTGAGCTTCGGTCCCCCGGGTTTTCCAGCCTCTTCGGTTCATCCCCGCGGTTCTGGGCCCCCGAGGGGCGACGGGGAGAGGGACTCCCGCGTCGCCGCTTCGCCGCCCCCCGGGGTCTCTCCACGACGCGCGGGGATCCGCACCCCGTTTGTTCTCGTCAGTGCGGCGGAGAGAAGCTCCTTAGAGTGTAACTTGGAAGCAGGTGTTTCTTTACTTTTCGGTGACAGTCGACAGGCAGTGTCATCCTGTGTTGGTTTGGGGTGTGCAGCACCGTGTGGACGAAGGGACCCCCCCCCCCGTGTCCAGTCCTGAAATTAACAGCCCGTGCGGCCACCCGGGCTCACCCCGAGGATGGGACCCCCCCTTCCCCCCCCCCCCAGCTCCTTGAGGGGCAGTTTTATTGTTTTATTTTTCGGTTGCAGGTGACGCTCCATAGCCTGTCAGTTTCCGGTGCACAGCAGTGATAGACAGTCCTGTAACTTAGGGTGCCCGTCTCCCATTGGGAGAGATCAGTAGGGCACGCTATGTTATACAACGGAACTATGCGCTATTCACG